ACTTTCCTGAAAACCCAATAGGTTGATGTGATCAGCCTGTCTTGGCTACAAAAAAGACAAATGAGTTTGGCCAGACCTTGCTGTCAGTGGTTGCACTAACCCTGGTAGGATTTTGTTTTTTAAATGCACTTCTCCATTAGTGATGGTGAGTGAAATGTCTGGCTTTGCAAATTACTGCTGTCATTTAGTTTAATGTATTCCTGTTTTTACATATATAAAAACCTTTTACATTTTTCATAATGATTAAATGCTTAGACACTGAAGATCGATAATACTTCTGTTCACCTATTTACATTATTAAAAAGTAATAAGTCATACAGAACACGTAGAATATGTGGCTTACTTTATAGTCATGTTTGGAGGAGATTGAAAATAAGAAATAGAGTTAGGCTATATAGTAAAATGTATTTAGGGAAAAACAGTAATCTTGTTGGGCTCGCTAGACACTCTACTGTGGGCAGGTTGCATGCTCACAGTGACATTGCACCAGCATGGGGCACTGGAGGTACACATTCCATGTGCTTCACATGGCAGTGCAGCAAACTCAAAACTAGAAAGGCTAGTCTCACTTGGATGCACAAAAATGAAGAGCTATTTAACCTGTATGTGCACTTTCAACACTTAGTTACCTATATGCCTTCTGGTGGTGTCAACACTCAGCAGCAAGTCATCTGTATGAGCCATGTTTTCCCACTAGGCAAATAAGCCCCTTGGCAATGCTCTCTTCATCTGCCTAACCAGCTATCCCTCAGCAATGTGTCAAAAGCAAAAAAACAGAGTGGTTCACCTGATTATGGCACATAAGTGTTCTATTGTAGGTCTGTTTGAGGAGTCAGGGATGCATAAGGGTAATAAGTCTTTTCAAGGTCAGTTAGCCCCGCTTTCTAAGTAGCCAAAGTGATGCAGCACAGTAGTTTAGAGTCAGCTCTCAGTATCAGTCTGCTTGGGTTCAAATCCTGACAATGACACTCATTGGTTGTAACCTTGGGCAAAAGACTTACTTGACATGTCAGTTCTTTTCTCACCTGAAACGTGGGGCTAATAATAGTGTCTACCATATAGGGTTTTTGTATGAATTAAATGAGATAACACATGTAAAAACTTAGTACGAAACCTGACACATAATAAGTGCTCAATAACAATTTACATGCAGCAAAATGACCACTTTACCAGTCATTCAGTTGTGTTCTTCTACCAAGAGGAAGTTAATTAGCGTGGATATTAAGTTTGTAAATAATATCATTGAAATGTATTAAATTGAACTGGATTTTAAAACATCATTTGGTTTCTAAGTTTCTTGTGTTGACCCAGATGCCATTTATTTAGTATAAATTAGATCCAAGTCATCAGGCTTATTTAAGGACAAGATGAAATGTGGTAAAGTTTACAAGGGTTGCTACAATCCAAACTTGCAGGCTGTGTAGTGTTGGGAAAGTTACTTAGTATTTCTTTTTTTTT